GCGTCGCGCCCCCCTTAGACCCGCCCTCCCTTTCCCGCCAATGGCATCGCGCGCTCTCGGGCCCCGCCCTCCGCCTCGCGCCGCGAGGGGCGGGACCTCCCCGCGGTGCTTCGCCTTTCTGATTGGTTCCCCTCCGAGACGGGCGTGGCGCGGAGCCAATCAGCGCCGGCGCTCGGCGTGATGGACGCCCCCCGTGACCCACTCGGCGCGCTCCTCCCACTCCCGCGCTGCGGCGCTTCGAGCGCCGCGATTGGTCCGGGAGCGTGACGGGCGGCGCTCCCGGCCAATGGGGAGGCGGGCGGGGGGCGGGCCCCGGCGCGGCGGCGGCGCTGAGGGCGGCGCGGGCGCCATTTTGTGCTCAGCCCCCGGAGGAAGCGGCGGCGGCGGCGGCGGGAGCGCAGCGGGGCCCGGAGCGGTGAGGGGGGGGCCGGGAGGAGTCCCGGGGAGTTCAGGGGGTCCTTAAAGTGCGGGGGGAGGAGGGAAGGGGTTTTCGTGAGGGGGAGGGGGGCGCGGAAATGGCGGCCAGGCGGGAATGGCAGGGGGTGGGGGCTGAGGGGGGGGCGGCCCCCTCAGGGCCCGTGAGGGGTCGGGGCGGAGTTAGAGCGCTCCGGGGGCGGGTTGGGCTCGTTAAAGGGTTAATTAGCGAGGTAATTAACCCTCTCCGGCGTGTAACTCAGCCCGGGGGGGGCGTGGTTAATCAGTGGGGGGCGTGGCTTCTCCGTGGGGAATAATTAACCTCTGGGGGCGGGGTTAGCTAATCAAGCGATTAATTAACCCTTTTCGACGCCTAATTAGCCACGGTGGGGGCGTGGTTTAGCCTGGGAGGGCGTGGCTTCATCAAAGGATTAATTAATCCCTTGGGGGCGTGGTTAAGCCGTTAAAGGGTTAATTAACCATTAAAGGGTTAATTAGCCCCATTGGGGGCGTGGTTAAGCGGGGGGGCGGGGCATAGTTTGCTAATTAAACCCTGAATGAGTATCAATAAGCCCCTGGGCGTGGCTTAGACGCTGTGGGCGTGGCTAATTACTTGAAGGGGTTATCAAGGTGTAATTAACTCGGGGGGGCGTGGTTAACACGGGGGGGTGCTAATTAACCCCTTTAAAGCTGCGTTTAATCAATGAGATGCTTCATTAACCCCCCCCGGGGTTGCAATTAATTAATCAGGGGTGTAATTAAACGCCCTTGGGGGCGGGGTTATTTTAAGGGGGGGCGGGGCATCTCCAGGCTCCTCCCCCACCATCGTTTTGGGGCAAACCCCCCCCAATTTCTCCTTTTTCTCCCCGAAAATGTGGATTGTTTGGAGATGGGGGGGGGGTAAATTAAAGTCAATTCCTCCCCCCTCTCAACTTTTGGGCCAAAGTCCCATTTCTCCCGAATTTTGGGGTTCAGACCCCTTCCCTTCCCCCCTACAAATTTTGGGGTCAGACCCCCTGATTTTGTGCCTTTTTCCCCCAAAAAAATCGTCTGTTTTCAGGGCTGGGCATCGATTCCTGACCCGCCCCCCTCTTCAGTTCCGGGGTAAAAAACCCCCCCAAAATTCTTCCTTTTTCCCCAAAATGCTCGTTTTTAGAACCTGAAGTAGATTATTTTACAATAATAAAATAATATTGTATTATTTTATATAGTAATATAATAATAATATAATAATATATAAATATATAAATATATTTTATATATGTAAATATATAATATAATAAATATAATAATAAATATAATAAAAATAATAAATAATTTATAAAAATAATAAATAATAATTTATAAAAATAATCTCAACTGGAGGTTTTTACCCCAATTTTTTTTGGGGGGGGGGGTCAAACTCCCAAATCAGACCCCTCCCCCAAAAGACTGTGCAGTTCCCCACCCCCAAACCCCCTCTTTTCACCCCAAAACCCACAACTTTTTCTGCCCCCCTCCCCCAAACTTCGTTTCCCTCCCCAAAATTGGGGTCAGGGGTCCCCTGGGAAGGAAGGGGTGGGAGTCACCCAAAATTTGGGACTGGGGGGTTTTGGGAGGGGAGGAGTCTCTCAACCTTCTCTCCTTCCACAGGGCCCCGAGGCAGCACCAGCGGCCCTCCCCTCCCGAGCCCCTCCCCCTCCCCAAACCCCCTCCCTCCTCCCCTCCCCCTCCGGCGCCGTTTTGGGCCCAAAGCGCCTGATTTTGGAGGGATTTTGGAGGGATTTTGGAGGTTTTCCTCGGCTTTGTTTTGAGGGGAGAGGGGTGGGGAGGGAGCACACGAGGTGGGGGAGGGAGGGGCGCTCGTTGGGGAGGGAGGGCTCAGGCTTTGGGGAGGGGCGGTGGGAGGCGGTGTGGGGGGAGGAGGGCCGCCCCTCCCCCGTTTTGGCCCCCTCCTGTTTCCCGAAAATCGCCCCAAATTTGCCTCTTTTTTTTTGTTGTTGTCTTTTCACAGCGCGATTTTTGAGCCGCCGGCGACCGTAGAGTGCCAAATTCTGCTTTTTCACCCCAAAACAGAAAACCAAACCAAAAAAACCACAAAAACAAACCACGCCCACCACGAGGTCGATTTTGCCGCCCCTCCCCCACCGACCCCGCCCACCCCACCCCTCGGTTCTCCCCTCGCCCCTCCCCACAGGGCCCCTCCCCCAGTTTTCCCACGGGGGCAGGTTTTGGGAGGCCCCTCCACCCACCCCCACCCCTAATTAAAGCCCCTCCCCCCAATCAATCAGGATTTGGGAGCCTCCTCCAAACCCCGGGATGGCCCCGGACAGGGCCCCTCCCACACGGGATTTTGAGGGGTTTGGGCTCTTTTTATTTTTTTTTTAATTTTTTTAATTTTTATTTTTTTTTTTATTTTTAATTTTTTTTTTGAGGTTTTTTTTTTTTTAACTGTCGTTTTTGGGCTGTTTTGGCCCTCCCCCTCCTCTCCAAGCCCCTCCACCGACACTTTTAAGCCCCTCCCCACCCCCAAACCCGCCCCTCCCCACTCTGCCGTCGCCGACCCACGGACGCCCCTCCCCACCCCCACGGTAAGAGGGGGTTAATTAGTGCTAATTAAAGGGGGCGGGGGTTGATGGTGGGCGTGGCACCCTGCGGCTAACGAGGGGTGTTCGTTAGCGCTCTGGGCAGGTAATTAAGGGGGCTCCCTGGCGCTAATTGGCGCCGTTAATTAAAGGCGGGGCGTTAATTAGAAGCTGTGTTTAGTAGGAGCTTGGTGGGGGGGGGGGGTGATGCTAATTAGCATCCTAATTTACCTGGGGGTGGTGATCAGCATAATTAACAAACAGAGGGCTGGTTCAGGGGTGGGAGCGCTGCTAATTAGCATTGCTAATTAAGGGGGTGGTTGTGGCTGCTAATTAAGGGGCGCTGTGGGTGCTAATTAGCACAGTTAGTTAAACAATTAGTTCAATTGGTTACCAGCACAAATGGGGGGGTCCCTGTGTTAATTAGGGGGCTAATTTGGGGTGGGTTTGGGGGGTTTTGGGGTTCAGGTGGTTTTTGGGGTGAGTTCAGGAGGTTTTTGGGGTGGGTTCAGGTGGTTTTTGGGTGGTCTCAGGTGGTTTTTGGGTGGGTTCAGGTTGTTTTGGGGTGAGTTCAGGAGGTTTTGGGGTGGTCTCAGGTGGTTTTGGGGTGAGTTCAGGAGGTGTTTTGGGGTGGTCTCAGGTGGTTTTGGGGTGAGTTCAGGAGGTTTTGGGGTGGTCTCAGGTGGTTTTTGGGTGGTCTCAGGTGGTTTTTGGGTGGTCTCAGGTGGTTTTTGGATGAGTTCAGGAGGTGTTTGGGTGGTCTCAGGTGGTTTTGGGGTGGTCTCAGGTGGTTTTGGGGTGGTCTCAGGTGGTTTTTGGGTGGTCTCAGGTGGTTTTGGGGTGAGTTCAGGAGGTTTTTGGGTGGTCTCAGGTGCTTTTGGGTGGTCTCAGGTGGTTTTTGGGTGGTCTCAGGTGGTTTTGGGGTGGTCTCAGGTGGTTTTTGGGTGGTCTCAGGTGGTTTTGGGGTGAGTTCAGGTGGTTTTTGGGTGGTCTCAGGTGGTTTTTGGGTGGTCTCAGGTGGTTTTGGGTGGGTTCAGGAGGTTTTTGGGTGGTCTCAGGTGGTTTTTGGGTGGTCTCAGGTGGTTTTTGGGTGAGTTCAGGAGGTTTTGGGTGGTCTCAGGTGGTTTTGGGGTGGTCTCAGGTGGTTTTTGGGTGGTCTCAGGTGGTTTTGGATGAGTTCAGGTGGGTTTTGGGTGGTCTCAGGTGGTTTTTGGGTGAGTTCAGGAGGTTTTGGGGTGAGTTCAGGAGGTTTTGGGTGGTCTCAGGTGGTTTTGGGTGGTCTCAGGTGGTTTTTGGGTGGTCTCAGGTGGTTTTTGGGGTGAGTTCAGGAGGTTTTTGGGTGGTCTCAGGTGGTTTTTGGGTGGGTTCAAGAGGTTTTTGGGTGGTCTCAGGTGGTTTTTGGGTGGGTTCAGGAGGTATTTGGGTGCTTTCAAGCCATTTTGGGCGTTTGTGAGCTGTTTCTGGGTTTTTTTCAAGCCATTTTTGGGTGGTTTTGAGCTGTTTTGGGTGTTTTCAAGCCATCTTTGGGTGGTTTGGAGCCGTTTCTGTGGGGCTTTTGAGGCGGTTCTGGGTTGTTTCGACCCCTTTTTTGGTGCTTTTGAGCCACATTTGGGTGCTTTTGGGCCATTTTCGGGTCATTTCGAGCTGGTTTTGGTTTTGAGCCATTTCTGGGTGCTTTTGAGCCATTTCTGGGTGGTTTTGAGTCTTTTTTTTGGTGCTTTTGAGCCATTTCTGGGTGGTTTTGAGCCATATCTGGGTGGTTTCAATCCATTTTTTTGGTTCTTTTGAGCCATTTCTGGGTGTTTTCCAGCCATTTCTGGGTGCTTTTGAGCCTTTTTTTGGTGCATTTGAGCCATTTCTGGGTGGTTTTGTCCTGTTTTTTTGGTCCTTTTGAGCCATATCTGGGTGCTTTTGAACCATTTTGGTGCTTTCGAGCCATTTCTGGGTGCTTTTCAGCCATTTTTTTTTGAACCTTTCGGGCATGTGGGTTTTCCAGCCATTTCGGGTTTTGGCAGGTTTTTAGTTCTTTCGAGCCATTTCTGGGTGCTTTTGGACCGATTTTTTGATACTTTCGAGCCATTTCTGGGTCGTTTCCAGCCATTTCTGGGTGTTTTTGAGCCATTTCTGGGTGGTTTCCAGCCACATCTGGGTGTTTTCGTGCCATTTCTGGGTGGTTTCGAGCCTTTTTTTTGGTGCCATTTCTGGGTGGTTTCCAGCCATATCTGGGTGTTTTCCAGCCATTTCTGGGTGGTTTCGAGCCTTTTTTTGGTACTTCTGAGCCATTTCTGGGTGCTTTTAAGCCATTTCTGGGTGGTTTTGAGCCATTTCTTTGGTGCTTTTGAGCCATTTCTGGGTCATTTCCAGTCATTTCTGGGTGCTTTCGTACTGGTTTTTTGGTGCTTTCGAGCCAATTCTGGGTGTTTTCCAGCCATTTCTGGGTCGTTTCCAGCCATTTCTGGGTGTTTTCGCACCATTTCTGTGTGTTTTCGTGCCATTTTTGTGTCGTTTCCCCAACCAGGTGATCCCTGACCCCCCTTTTTTTCCCCCCATCCCTCCCCAGGACCCCCCCGGCCATGGCGAGCAACGTGACGAACAAGACGGACCCGCGGTCGCTGAACTCGCGCGTGTTCATCGGGAACCTGAACACGCTGGTGGTGAAGAAGAGCGACGTGGAGGCCATCTTCGCCAAGTACGGCAAGATCGTGGGCTGCTCCGTGCACAAGGGCTTCGCCTTCGTGCAGTACGTCAACGAGCGCAACGCCCGCGCCGCCGTGGCCGGCGAGGACGGCCGCATGATCGCCGGACAGGTGCTCGGTGAGGACATAACACGGGTGTTTGGGGGTAGTTATGGGGATTTGGGGGCAGTTCTGGGGATTTGGGGGTGGTTCTGGGCAGTTTGGGGGCAGTTTGGGGTCATCACACGCACACCAGGACGGCCGCATGATCGCCGGACAGGTGCTCGGTGAGGACACACATGGGTGTTTGGGGGCGGTAATGGGGATTTGGGGGCAGTTTGGGGCAGTTTGGGGGCAGTATGGGGCATTTTGGGGGTGGTTCTGGGCAGTTTGGGGGCATCGAGGGGCAGTTTGGGGACATTTAGGGGCAGTTTGGGGGCAGTTTGGGATCATTTAGGGGCAGTTTGGGATCATTTAGGGGCAGTTTGGGGGCAGTTCTGGGCAGTTGGGGGGGAATTGAAGGGGGCATCGAGGCAGTTTGGGGAGTTTGAGGCAGTTTAGGGCAGTTTGCAGGATCATATGAAGGCAGTTTGGGATCATTTAGGGGGCAGTTTGGGGGCAGTTCTGGGCAGTTTGGGGAATTAGAGGGTCAGTTTGGGGACAGTTCTGGAGCAGTTTAGGGGCAGTTCTGGGCAGTTTGGGGGCATTTAGGGGCAGTTTGGGGCCATTTAGGGTCAGTTTGGGGGCATTTAGGGTCAGTTTGGGGACATTTAGGGTCAGTTTGGGATCATTTAGGGGCAGTTTGGGGGCATTTAGGGGCAGTTTGGGGGCAGTTCTGGGCAGTTGGGGGGGAATTGAAGGGCAGTTTGGGGGCAGTTCTGGGCAGTTTGGGGATATTTAGGGTCAGTTTGGGGACATTTAGGGTCAGTTTGGGGGCATTTAGGGGCAGTTTGGGGACATTTAGGGTCAGTTTGGGGGCCATTTTGGGGCAGTTTGGGGACATTTAGGGTCTGTTTGGGGACATTGAGAGTCAGTTTGGGGGCATCAAGGGGCAGTTTGGGGACATCGAGGGGCAGTTTGGGGACATTTAGGGTCAGTTTGGGGGCCATTTTGGGGCAGTTTGGGGCCATTTAGGGTCAGTTTGGGGGCCATTTCGGGACATTTAGGGTCAGTTTGGGGGCAGTCAGGGGCAGTTTGGGGTCATTTCGGGGCAGTTTGGGGTGCAGATTAAAGGGGCAGGAGCCAGGTGAGCTCACCTGGGGTCACTCCTGGGTCATTTGGGGTCAGTTTGGGGACATTTCGGGTCAGTTTGGGGACATTTCGGGGCAGTTTGGGGTCATTTAGGGTCAGTTTGGGGGCCATTTTGGGGCAGTTTGGGGCATTGAGGGGCAGTTTGGGGCCATTTAGGGGCAGTTTGGGGACATTTCGGGGCAGTTTGGGGTGCAGATTAGAGGGGCAGGAGCCAGGTGAGCTCACCTGGGGTCACTCCCGGGTCATTTGGGGTCAGTTTGGGGACATTTCGGGTCAGTTTGGGGGCAGTTCTGGGCAGTTTGGGGGCATTTAGGGTCAGTTTGGGGGCCATTTCGGGGCAGCTTGGGGGTAGTTTGGGGACATTTAGGGGCAGTTTGGGGGCATTTAGGGGCAGTTTGGGGTGCAGATTAAAGGGGCAGGAGCCAGGTGAGCTCACCTGGGGTCACTCCCGGGTCATTTGGGGTGGTCCCTGGGTCATTTGGGGTGGTCCCTGGGTCATTTGGGGTCACTCCCGGGTCATTTGGGGTGGTCCCTGGGTCGTTTGGGGTCATTTGGGGTGGTCCCTGGGTCATTTGGGGTCACTTGGGGTGGTCCCTGGGTCATTTGGGGTGGTCCCTGGGTCACTTGGGGTGGTCCCTGGGTCGTTTGGGGTCATTTGGGGTGGTCCCTGGGTCACTTGGGGTGGTCCCTGTGTCATTTGGGGTCATTTGGGGTGGTCCCTGTGCCTCGGGAGGGCAGGGCAGGGGTGGGGGGACCCCCTGAGCCCCCCATTTTCCCCCCCAGACATCAACCTGGCGGCCGAGCCGAAGGTGAACCGGGGCAAGGCGGGGGTGAAGCGCTCGGCGGCCGAGATGTACGGGTCAGTACCCGCCCCCCCGTCACCGTCCCCCCTCGTCAGGTGGGGAGCTGGGGGGGCCTGGGGATTGGGGTGGTTGGGGGGATTTGGGGTGGTTGGTGGGGGATTTGGGGGTGATTTGGGGGCACATTTGTAATAGGGGAGGGGTTTGGGGGGATTTGGGGTGGTTGGGGGCACGTGTGCAATGGGGAGGGATTTGGGGGATTTGGGGGTGGTTGGGGGATTTGGGGGTGGTCGGGAGGCACATTTGCAATGGGGAGGGGGTTTGGGGGGTTTGGGGGGATTTGGGGTGGTTGGGGGGGATTTGGGGGTGGTTGGGGGCACATATTGCAATGGGGGAGGGGTTTGGGGGATTTGGGGGTGGTTGGAGGGGATTTGGGGGTGGTTGGGGGGATTTGGGGGTGGTTGGGGGTCAGGGGTGTCTGAGGAGGGGGTTGGGGGGTCCAGGGGGTTTTGAGGGGTTGGGGTTGTCTTGGGGGAGGTTAAAGGGGCATTTGTGGGCTTTGGGGGGATTTGGGGGCACACTTGCAGTGGGAGAGGGATTGGGGGGATTTGGGGGGTGGTTGGGGGGTCAGGGGTGTCTGAGGAGGGGGTTTTGGGGGGTCTGGGGGGTTTAAAGGGGCATTTGTGGGGTTTAGGGGGTTTTGGGGGGTCTTTGGGTTTCCACGAAGGGTTTTGAGGGGTCTTTGGGGGTTTTGGGGGGATTTTGGGGGGTTGAGAGTTTTTAGGGGTCACGGGGGAGTTTTGGGGTCTGACTCCTTCCCTCCCTCCCCCCACCGCAGATCATCGTTCGATCTCGACTACGATTTCCAGCGGGACTACTATGACCGGTACCAGTACAGACCAGTACAGACCAGTATAGACCAGTAAAGCCCATTCTAGCCCAGTATAACCCAGTCTAACCAGTACAACCCAATACAACCCAGTGTAACCAGTGCCCCCCCGCAGGATGTACAGCTACCCCGCCCGGGTGCCGCCCCCTCCCCACAGCTGTCATCCCCCCCCAGTATAACCCAGTCCAACCCATTCTAACCAGTATAACCCAGTATAACCCAGTATAACCCAGTATAACCCAGTCCAACCCCTATAACCAGTATAACCCAGTACAACCCAGTATAACCAGTGTAACCAGTGCCCCCCCGCAGGATGTACAGCTACCCCGCGCGGGTGCCGCCCCCTCCCCCCATCGCGCGCGCCGTGGTGCCCTCCCAGTATAAACCAGTATAACCCAGTAAAGCCCATTCTAGCCCAGTCTAACCCATTCTAACCACTATAACCCAGTATAACCAGTGTAACCAGTACCCCCCCACAGGATGTACAGCTACCCCGCCCGGGTGCCGCCCCCTCCCCCCATCGCGCGCGCCGTGGTGCCCTCCCAATATAACCCAGTATAACCCAGTATAACCCAGTATAAACCATTCTAACCCAGTATAACCCATTCTAACCCAGTATAACCAGTGTAACCAGTACCCCCCCGCAGGATGTACAGCTACCCCGCGCGGGTGCCGCCCCCTCCCCCCATCGCGCGCGCCGTGGTGCCCTCCCAGTATAACCCAGTATATCCCAGTACATCCCAATATAACCCAGTATAACCCAGTCCAACCCAGTATATCCCAGTACATCCCAGTATATCCCAGTATAACCCAGTATAACCAGTGTAACCAGTACCCCCCCGCAGGATGTACAGCTACCCCGCGCGGGTGCCGCCCCCTCCCCCCATCGCGCGCGCCGTGGTGCCCTCCCAGTGTAACCCAGTACAACCCAGTATAACCCAGTACAACCCCTATAACCAGTATAACCCAGTATAACCAGTATAACCCAGTATAACCAGTACCCCCCCCACAGGATGTACAGCTACCCCGCGCGGGTGCCGCCGCCTCCCCCCATCGCGCGCGCCGTGGTGCCCTCCTAGTATAACCCAGTATAACCCAGTGTAAACCATTCTAACCCATTCTAACCCAGTAAAGCCCAGTATAACCAGTGTAACCAGTGCCCCCCCGCAGGATGTACAGCTACCCCGCGCGGGTGCCGCCCCCTCCCCCCATCGCGCGCGCCGTGGTGCCCTCCAAGCGCCAGAGGGTGTCCGGGAACACCTCCCGGCGCGGCAAGAGCTTCAACTCCAAGTCGGGCCAGAGGGGCTCCTCCTCCAAGAGCGGCAAGCGTGAGTGGCCTCCGTTTTGGGGGGGTTTGGGGTGAATTCCGACAGGTTTGGGGGGTTTGGGGTGAATTCCGGCAGGTTTGGGGGGGTTTGGGGTGAATCCTCAGGGTTTGGGGGGTTTGGGGTGAATTCAGCAGGTTTGGGGTGAATCCCAGCAGGTTTGGGGGGGTTTGGGGTGAATCCTGAGGGTTTGGGAGGGTTTGGGGTGAATTCCAGCAGGTTTGGGGGCTTTGGTTGTTTTGGGGTGAGTCCTGACGGGTTTGGGTTGTTTGGGGTGAATCCCAGCAGGTTTGGGGGGCTTTGGTTGTTTTGGGGTGAGTCCTGACAGGTTTTGGGTGGTTTGGGGTGAATCCTGACGGTTTGGGTTGTTTGGGGTGAATTCCGACAGGTTTGGGGGGGTTTGGGGTGAATCCTGACGGGTTTGGGTTGTTTGGGGTGAATCCCAGCAGGTTTGGGGGGCTTTGCTTGTTTTGGGGTGAGTCCTGACGGGTTTGGGGGCTTTTGTTGTTTTGGGGTGAGTCCTGATGGTTTTAGGGGGTTTTGCCATTTTGGGGTGAATCCTGAGGGGTTTTGGGGTGGATCCTGGTGGTTTTAGGGGGGTTTGCCATTTTGGGGTGAATCCTGATGGATTTGGGGTGAATCCTGATGGATTTGGGGTGAATCCCGACGGTTTTGGGTGGTTCTGCCATTTCTGGGGTGAATCCCGGCGGTTTTGGGTGGTTCTGCCATTTCTGGGGTGAACCCCGGCAGTTTTGGGCCGTTTTGGGGTGAATCCTGACGTTTTTGGGTGGTTCTGCCATTTCTGGGGTGAACCCCGGCGGTTTTGGGCCGTTTTGGGGTGAATCCCGACGTTTTTGGGTGGTTCTGCCATTTCTGGGGTGAACCCCGGTGGTTTTGGGGTGAATCCCGACATTTTTGGGTGGTTCTGCCATTTCTGGGGTGAGCCCCGGTGGTTTTGGGCCGTTTTGGGGTGAATCCTGATGGGTTTGGGTAGTTCTGCCATTTCTGGGGTGAACCCCGGCGGTTTTGGGCCGTTTTGGGGTGAATCCCGGCGGTTTTGGGCCCGCAGTGAAGGGGGACGACCTGCAGAGCATCAAGAAGGAGCTGGGGCAGATCAAGGCCAAGGTGGACGCGCTGCTGGAGAGCCTCGAGCGGCTGGAGCGGGAGCAGAGTGAGCGTCGCGCCCTTTTTGGGGCAAAACCGCCCTTTTTGGGGGCAAAACCGCCCTTTTTGGGGAAAAACTGCCCTTTTTGGGGGAAACTGCCCTTTTGGGGCAAAACTGCCCTTTTTGGGAGAAAACTGCCCTTTTTGGGGAAAACTGCCCTTTTTGGGGGAAAACTGCTTTCTTTGGGGCAAAACTGCCCTTTTTGGGGGCAAACTGCCCTTTTTGGGGGAAAACTGCACTTTTTGGGGAAAACAATCCTTCTTGGGGGGAAACTGCTTTCTTTGGGGGAAAACTGCCCTTTTTGGGGGCAAAACTGCCCTTTTTGGGGCATAACTGCCCTTTTTGGGGCGTAACTGCCCTTTTTGGGGGAAAACTGCCTTTTTTGGGGCAAAATGGCCTTTTTGGGGCAAAACTGCCCTTTTTTTGGGGAAAACTGCCCTTTTTGGGGCAAAACTGCCCTTTTTGGGGGGAAATTGCCCTTTTTGGGGGAAAGCTGCCCTTTTTGGGTAAAAATTGCCCTTTTTGGGGAAAACAATCCTTCTTGGGGGGAAAAGGGACCTTTTGGGGGAAAACAGCTTTTCTGGGGTGGGAAACAGCTCTTTTTTGGGGGGGAAATGGGCCTTTTGGGGTAAACAGCCATTTTTGGGGGACACACCCCCTTCTGTGGGGCAGACCCACAGACCCCGCCCAGCCCTTCAGAAACTCCACCCACTGCTCACAGACCCCGCCCACTGCCCCTTTAAAAGGCCCCAAATCCCCCCCCAGCCCTTTTCTGTCCCTAAACCCCCTTTTCTGTCCCCAAATCCCCCTTTTCTGTCCCCAAACCCCCTTTTCTGTCCCTAAACCCCTTTTCTGTCCCCAAACCCCCCTTTCTGTCCCCAAACTCCCCGTTTCTGTCCCCAAACCCCCTTTTCTGTCCCCAAACCCCCTTTTCTGTCCCCAAACCCCCTTTTCTGTCCCCAAACCCCCTTTTCTGTCCCCAAACCCCCTTTTCTGTCCCCAAATCCCCTTTTTCTGTCCCCAAACCCCTTTTCTGTCCCCAAACCCCCTTTTCTGTCCCCAAACCCCCTTTCTGTCCCCAAATCCCCCTTTCCTGTCCCCAAACCCCCTTTTCTGTCCCCAAATCCCCCTTTTCTGCCTCTAACCCCCTTTCCTGTCCCCAAACCCCCTTTTCTGTCCCCAAACCCCCTTTTCTCTCCCCAAACCCCCTAAACCCCCGTTTTCCCCCAGAGGCGAAGAGCGACAAGGCGGAGGAGGAGCAGGGAGGAACAGCTCCTTCAAACCCCCTTTTCTGTCCCCAAACCCCCTTTTCTGTCCCCAAACCCCCTTTTCTGTCCCCAAACCCCCCTAAACCCCCGTTTTCCCCCAGAGCGAGAGCGACAAGGCGGAGGAGGAGCAGGGGGATCAGCTCCCTAAAACCCCCTTTTCTGTCCCCAAATCCCCTTTTCTGCCCCTAACCCCCGTTTTCCCCCAGAGGCGAAGAGCGACAAGGCGGAGGAGGAGCAGGGGGGGATCAGCTCCCTCAAACCCCCCTTTTCTGTCCCCAAACCCCCTTTTCTGTCCCCAAATCCCCCTTTTCTGCCCTAAAACCCCTTTTTTTCCCAAAACCCCTTTTCTGCCCCTAAACCCCCGTTTTCCCCCAGAGCGAGCGACAAGGCGGAGGAGGAGCAGGGCGGCAGCGGCTCCAAGAAGGACGAGGCCGGCGGGGCCAAGGCCGAGGGGGGCAACGAGGACTCTGCCGAGGAGGGGGACCTGCTGGACGACGAGGAGGCCGAGGAGAGGGGGGACGAGCAGGTGAGACCCCCCTCCCTCCCCCAGTACACACCAGTACACACCAGTACACACCAGTGCCCCCCAGCCTCGCTGTGCTGGGGGAGGGGCCTCTCCTGACCCCTCTGTCCCCTCCCCAGCTGGAGTCCATCAAGGGGGACGAGAAGGAGGCGGAGGAGGGGGAGGACGACCGGGACAGCGCCAACGGCGAGGACGACCCCTGAGAGCCCCCGGGACCCCCTGAGCGCCCGGGACCCCCAGACCCCCTGCCCGAGCGGCCCCGAGCCCACAGCCCCTCCCCTGCCGTGTTCGTGCTGTCGTGGCCCCTCCCCGCCCTCCTCCTGCCCCCCTGCCCCCCTCATAGTTCGGTTCAGCCCCTCCCCCACCCCCTCCCCCCTCTCCTCGTTTAATTTTGATACCTCGAGACGACGATTAAAGGACGGATGTTTGTAAATAACGGTGCTGTGGGGGGAAAGGGGGGCACCCAGGGGACTCCTGAGACCCCCCAAAGCGGTTCCAGAGGCCCCCAAAAACCTCTTAAACGTCCCCCAACAATGGCCCCCAGGGACCCTCAAAAAAACCCCCCAAAAGTGCTCCCACAGACCCCCCCACAAAGCCCCTCCTTCACAACATGGCTGCCCCCTCCTCCAATATGGCAGCTCCCCCTCCAACATGGCCACCCCCTCATCCAATATGGCAGCTCCCACACCACCCATCCAACATGGCTGCCCCCTCATCCAATATGGCAGCTCCCACACCACCCATCCAACATGGCTGCCCCCACATCCAATATGGCGGCTCCTTCCCCAAATATGGCAGCTCCCACACCACCCATCCAACATGGCCGCCCCCTCATCCAATATGGCAGCTCCCACACTACCCATTCAACATGGCCACCCCCACATCCAATATGGCAGCTGCTCCTCCAACATGGCCACCCCCTCGTACAATATGGCGACTTCCACACCACCCATCCAACATGGCTGCCTCCTCATCCAATATGGCAGCTCCCCCTCCAACATGGCCGCCCCCTCATCCAATATGGCAGCTCCCCTTCCAACATGACCACCCCCTTGTCCAATATGGCAGCTCCCATACCACCCATCCAACATGGCTGCTCCCTCATCCAATATGGCAGCTCCCCCTCCAACATGGCTGCCCCCTCATCCAATATGGCAGCTCCCATACCACCCATCCAACATGGCTGCTCCCTCATCCAATATGGCAGCTCCCACACCACCCATCCAACATGGCTGCCCCCCCATCCAATATGGCAGCTCCCCCTCCAACATGGCTGCCCCCTCGTCCAATATGGCAGCTCCCACTCCAACATGGCTGCCCCCCCTATCCAATATGGCAGCTCCCTCATCCAATATGGCAGCTCCCACACCACCCATCCAATATGGCTGCCCCCTCCAATATGGCAGCTCCCTCATCCAATATGGCAGCTCCCACATCACCCATGCAACATGGCTGCCCCCTCATCCAATATGGCGGCTCCACCTCCAATATGGCCACCTCCTTATCCAATATGGCAGCTCCCACATCACCCATCCAACATGGCTGCCCCCTCCTCCAATATGGCCACCCCACATCCAATACGGCAGCTCCCACACCACGCATCCAACATGGCTGCCCCCACATCCAATATGGCAGCTCCCACACCACCCATCCAACATGGCCGCCCCCTCATCCAATATGGCGGCTCCCTCATCCAACATGGCTGCCCCCCCATCCAATATGGCGGCTCCCACACCACCCATCCAACATGGCCACCCCCTCATCCAATATGGCAGCTCCACCTCCAACATGGCCGCCCCTTATCCAATATGGCAGCTCCCTCATCCAATATGGCAGCTCCCACACCACCCATCCAACATGGCTGCCCCCTCATCCAATATGGCCACCCCCTTGTCCAATACGGCAGCTCCCACACCACGCATCCAATATGGCCACCCCACATCCAACATGGCTGCCCCCTCATCCAATATGGCGGCTCCCCCTCCAACATGGCCGCCTCCTTGTCCAACATGGCGGCTCCCTCCCCCACAATGGCGCCAGGGGGCGTGGCTCCACAAAAAGTCCTTTATTCCCCGCCCCCTGGGCGTGGTCAGGGCGCAGTGGGCGTGGCCGGGGCGGGCGGTGGCGCGCGCGGATTGGACAGTGCCAGGCGGGGCGGGGCCAGGGCGGAGCCCGGGGGGCGGCGCCCATTGACGACCAATGAGAGCGGGGAGGAGACGCGGATGCCCAGGAAGGAGAAGGTCTGCCAACCAGTACAAACCAGTACGGACCAGCTGGGACAGCCAGGCCTGCTCCCAGTGACCCCCAGTGTCCCCGGTCCCTCCCAGTTCCTCCCATATCCCATCCCCAGTCCCTCCCAGTGCCCCCAGATCCCATCCCCAGTCCCTCCCAGTGTGTCCCAGTCACTCCCAGTGCCCCCAGATCCCATCCCCAGTCCCTCCCAGTGTGTCCCAGTGCCTCCCAGTGCCCCCAGATTCCGTCCCCAGTCCCTCCCAGTGTGTCCCAGTCACTCCCAGTGCCCCCAGATCTCCCCCACCGGCTCCCAGTCCCTCCCAGTGCCCCCAGTTCCCCTCCCAGTGTGTCCCAGTCCCTCCCAGTGCCCCCAGATCCCATCCCCAGTCCCTCCCAGTGTGTCCCAGTCCCTCCCAGTGCCCCCAGATCCCCTCCCAGTGCCCCCCATGGTTCTCCACTCCCCTCCCAGTCCCCCCCAGTGGCTCCCAGTGGCTCCCAGTGGCACCTGTCCCTGGTGCTGGTGCTGGGTCACCAGGGGGTCGGGCACCCCCAGTCCCTCCCAGTGTGTCCCAGTCCCTCCCAGTGCCCCCAGATCCCATCCCCAGTCCCTCCCAGTCCCTCCCAGTGTGTCCCAGTGGCACCTGTCCCTGGTGCTGGTGCTGGTGCTGGGTCACCAGGGGGTCGGGCACCCCCAGATCCCATCCCCAGTCCCTCCCAGTGCCCCCAAGTTCCCCCCCAGTCCCCCCCCAGTCCCTCCCAGTGTGTCCCAGTGGCACCTGTCCCTGGTGCTGGTGCTGGTGCTGGGTCACCAGGGGGTCGGGCACCCCCAGATCCCATCCCCAGTGTGTCCCAGTGGCTCCAGATCCCATCCCCAGTCCCTCCCAGTGCCCCCCATGGTTCTCCACTCCCCTCCCAGTCCCTCCCAGTGGCTCCCAGTGTGTCCCAGTGGCACCTGTCCCTGGTGCTGGTGCTGGTGCTGGGTCACCAGGGGGTCGGGCACCCCCAGATCCCATCCCCAGTCCCTCCCAGTGCCCCCAGCTCCCCTCCCAGTCCCTCCCAGTGGCTCCCAGTGGCACCTGTCCCTGGTGCAGGTGCTGGTGCTGGGTCACCAGGGGGTCGGGCACCCCCAGATCCCATCCCCAGTGTGTCCCAGTCCCTCCCAGTGCCCCCAGATCCCATCCCCAGTCCCTCCCAGTGCCCCCATGGTTCTCCACTCCTCCCAGTCCCTCCCAGTGGCTCCCAGTGTGTCCCAGTGGCACCTGTCCCTGGTGCTGGTGCTGGTGCTGGGTCACCAGGGGTCGGGCACCCCAGATCCCATCCCCAGTGTGTCCCAGTCCCTCCCAGTGCCTCCAGATCCCATCCCCAGTCCCTCCCAGTGCCCCAGCTCCTCCCAGTCCCTCCCAGTGGCTCCCAGTGGCACCTGTCCCTGGTGCTGGTGCTGGTGCTGGGTCACCAGGGGGTCGGGCACCCCCAGGGCGTCGCCCACCTGGACCCCCCAGTCGGGCCCCGCGTTGTAAACGGTGACGGCGGCCACGGCCCTCCCCGTCCTGCAGACCCACCGCTGCTGGGGGACATTTTGGGGGTTTGAGGGGGTTTTGGGGGTTCAGGACATTTTGGGGGTTTCAGGTGATTTTGGGGTTCAGGACATTTTGGGGGTTTGGGGTGGTTTTGGGGGTTCAGGACACCATTTTGGGGGGGTTTGAGGTGGTTTTGAACCCCCTCCCAGTCCATCCCAGTGCCCCCCAGTTCCCTCCCAGTCCACCCCAGTGCCCCCCAGTTCCATCCCAATCCCTGTCACGGCCCTCCCAGTGCCCCCCAGTTCCCTCCCAGTCCATCCCAGTGCCCCCAGTTCCCCCAGTCCATCCCAGTGCCCCCCAGTTCCTCCCAGTCCACCCCAGTGCCCCCAGGTCCATCCCAATCCCTGTCACGGCCCTCCCAGTGCCCCCAGTTCCCTCCCAGCCCTCCCAGTGCCCCCAGTTCCCTCCCAGTCCTTCCCAGTGCCCCCAGTTCCCTCCCAGCCCCTCCCAGTCTATCCCAGTTCCCTCCCAGTGCCTCCCAGTCCGTCCCAGTGCCCCCCAGTCCATCCCAGTGCCCCCTGGTTCCATCCCAATCCACCCCAGTGCCCCCAGTCCATCCCAGTGCCCCCAGTTCCCTCCCAGTTCCCTCCCAGTGCCCCCCAGTCCGTCCCAGTGCCGCGGTACTCACTAGGGAACCCCCCCGGGGGGGGCCAGGCTGAACAGGACCCTCCCCAGGACCACCCTCTGGGGGTTGCTCCCCACCCTCAGAGTGGGGAGGGGGCTGGGCCAGGGCCCCCCCGGACCCCCCAGGGGGCCCAGCAGGGGGAGGGGCACCGGCCCTGCCAGGCCCCGCCTCCGCTTCCCCCGCAGCTTCCCCTGATTGGATGGGGAGAGGGCGCCGAGGTCAGCAAGGACACGCCCACTGGGACCTGACTCAGTGACCCCCAGTACTCCCAGTGACCCCCAGTACTCCCAGTGACCCCAGTCCCTCCCAGTGCCCCCAGTCACTCCCAGTGCCCTCAGTCACTCCCAGTGACCCCAGTCCCTCCCAGTGCCCCCAGTCCCTCCCAGTTCCCTCAGTCCCTCCCAGTGACCCCCAGTCACTCCCAGTTCCCCCAGTCCCCTCCCAGTGACCCCCAGTACTCCCAGTGACCCCCAGTACTCCCAGTGACCCCAGTCCCTCCCAGTGCACCCCATTCTCTCCCAGTGCCCCCAATTCCCTCCCAGCCCCCCCGAAATCCCCTCCCAGTCCCTCCCAGTGCCCCCATTCTCTCCCAGCCCCCCAGATGCCTCCCAGTCCCTCCCAGTGCCTCCCAATCCCTCCCAGTCCCTCCCAG